TTCGGTTTAGTGGGGGTTTTGAGGAAAACAAAGGAAAATGAGAGGTTAGATCTGTGTCGTATTTGTACATTTGAGGGTTTAGGTAAAGGATAAATAAAGCTAATAAGCTAGCTGGTATGGTTATGGATAGCAGGTGTGAGTGGATTGATATCAAATTATTTTTTAAGCAGTAAATGTCAAAAATGTGAAAAGGTTATTGCAGCATATAAATGTGTGGGATAGGAGCTTCTTTGTCTTCCATGCTTTCCCTCTGGATCTCATGCACAACCATAACTTGCTGAAAAATCCAGCTAAGACCAGTTTTTGTTGGGAGCTGGTTTTAGATGGTCTAAACTGGTCTTGGATGGTTATTAGTTAGATTCTTGCTGCTCTAAGAAGGTCAAAGTGGCTGTTCAGATGGACATCCAGGCGGACAAGGCAAAAATCTATCCTATGCTGATCAACTGGTTAAGCTGGTTAAACTGGTAGACCAGCTTGGTCATGCTGGTAGACCATCAACCAGCTAAGCTGGTATACCTGGTTGACCTGGCCAAGCTGTTTTTTTCCAGCGAGGCTGTAGAAATCAGTAGATCAGTAGAATCAGAAATCAATATAAGTATAGGGACAAAGAAAAACAACATAAGCAAGCCACCAGAACAGCTTAATAGACCTTGGCATAGATTCTACAAGACTCTGGAACTGTGCTGGAGGGATGGAACACCATTCTCCCAAAAGATATTCCCTCATTTGGTGTTTTGATGATGGTGGGGGAGTGCATTATTTTACACATCGTCCCGAAATCTCCTATAGGTGTTCAAATGGGTTGAGACTGCTGAACTGTAAAGGCCACAGCATATGATTTACATAATTTTCATACTCATTCAGTGACCTTTTGTGCCTTGTGGATGGGGGCATTGTCATCCTGGAAGAGACCACTCCCATCAGGATGATGTTTCATCATGGGATAAAGGTGACCAGTCACAATAACTTTGTATTGATTTGCAGTGACCCTTCCCTCGAAGAGGACAAATAGACACAAATCATGACAGCAAAAAGCCCCCCTCCACTGTAGGGGTCAATCAATCAGGCTTGTACTGCTGTGTTGCTCACGCACTCACCTACTTGTGGAGGATTTTGTGAGGTTTATTGAGGTTTTTCCTTTAATTTGTCAACTGACTATATATATTTTTGTTCAAACCCCTACATGTTGCCTTTTTAGGTGGCCCTTTTATGTCTGTCTTGCCTGCAGCTGATGCTAAAAAATAAAAAAAATAAATGAAACACCTGCGAGCCAAAGAGAACAAAGAAAGTAAAAGAGTTAATGAAGCAAATAGTGGATTTTCAGCTACTGAAATGCTAACACTTTCACTGCAGGCCTGACTGGACTAGCAAGGTGGCACTTGTTTTCTCACAAACTCCCCTTTTATATGAACTACATGCAGTCATTTCTCCAAAACAATGGATCTCCGCTCAAACCTTCCCTCACAAGGTCAATATCACTCAATGCAAACAGAAATAATGGGACCCACTCTTAATCTCTGAGCCAACTTGTAAGCAAAATGAACGTTTATTATATTAAGAGTACGGGCACAAATGTGCTAGTGTGAGATAGCAGAGCAGCTAATACATCTGCTACTGTAGACCGTCTTAATGAGGCATTAATTACAAGCTTATCTACCGAGCAGGACGAATGGCTTTGTTTTTAGAATTTGTATAGCTGCAGACTTAATTAAGTGGAAAATGGACAAAAATGACCACATAAATTAAACAGAGAGCAGACTGTGACCAGAGCTAGAGTTGAACCCAAGTATTCAATCAACAGCACCCACATGAGGAAAAAGCACCCCACAGAATAACAGTCAACCAGCAGGAGCCAAAACAATGTACCTGTAACCATACTAAAACAATAAAGTGAAGCAAAATATGTACATAAAAACTATGTAACTGGCAAAGAACAAGATGTCTTCTTTAGTTTATCATTGTGGAATGCCATTTAATGGAGTATCCTGCTCTAGAACTGTGTTGTCTGTTGTGTTTTGAGGTAACCTAGCTTAGCATCGTATCCTTCAGCCTCATGAGTTTGACAGAATCCCTGATTTTCTAACATTTTCATGTTTTCATTCATCAACGTGATGTTCTCTCGTTAGAACACCCAGCACATATTGCATAAATACATCATACAACTACTGGAAATCCCTGTGGGGTCAATCGCTTCTGACTGCTAGCTTAGCAACTCTCTATGGGCTAATACATACAACCAAGTTAGCGTCAGTGTACTTCTCACCTCAGTTGTCTAACAAATTCATAAAGAAAACAGACATTCTGTCTTAATTCAGCACAAAATGGACACCACAGACAAGTCTTTTTACCTTTTCAGCCAGAGAAAAGAAGCCAAACTCAGGTAAGGTAAACTGAGGTGAGGCTAAGTAGCTTTGATAGCTTTTAGCTTTTAGCTTGTCTTCATCAGATGAGTCACTTCTGTTAAGTAATCCATTCTCTCCACTGTAATAATGATTTAACAGTTACTGCAGTTAAACAGCTGTAATACAATATTCATCCTCCTAGCTGTAACGTTAGCTATCTGCCTTCCTACTGAATTTGCCAAAAAGTGATTTTTTTGATCTTTACACTGGAAAAGTGCACTCTAGACTACTGCGGCGCTACTATAGGGCGCAGGTTATCAGTAGCAATAGTTAAACTATTCGTTTTGTCCAGACTGGAGTGACTCTTTAAGCAACCTTCAGCACTTTTTTAGCACTGGACGACACGGCAAAATTAAGAGCCAGCAGAGCTACATTTAAAAGCTACTGTCAAAACCTATGATTATAATCATTTTTATTCAACATTTCCAACACTGAGCTGCACTAAACCCAATTAAAAAGGCCAAATTGTGCTCTGTAATGAAACGTAGTTGTTCAGTGTTCTTTAAGTACTGATGTGATTACACATATTGTGTAGTAATTTATCACAATAATGATAAATATTGTCAAATTGCCCACCTCTAACTTCACTTCACATTCTTTTATTCTTGCATGGTCAACATCATTTCAACAGTAGCTGTAGTCTGAAGATTACAGCTATATAACACAAATAATGCAGGCAAAGTGAAACCAGTACAGTCTCTACATAACAAGAACTGACTTTAGGTACCGTTGTCAATCAAGAACCAGTGATAAACAGATGCTACTGGAATGAAGACAGTGCACAGTATACTAGTTTTTCTGAGTGTAATTGAGGCCCTGGGCTTAGAGTGCCCTCTAGTGGATTCACTAGAAAGCACACCTTTTCTAGATGTCATCTAAAATACATAATAAAAATAACACCACTTCTATTTGCAATGCAGGGGCAAACAGGAACTGAAAAGATAGCTTTTTATCATACATTGCCCAGTAGAGCAGCATTAGATGGAACCACCAGATGCCATCTAACCACTGGAAAGTAATAGCTCTCCACCCTGCCATCTGGACTTCCCCCAGTCTGAAAGTGAGAAGTGGCAAGAGTAACTGAAATGAGGTCCTATCTTTGATAAGCCTGCCTATTCAGGTTCTCTACTAAGTTAATATTTCAGTCGTTAACAGTTAGAGGAAATCAATAAACTTTACTAGCTTTCTTTCACTGTTAGCTTTGTTAAGCATATTTCGGCGAGTTTCTCAGAGTGTTTTCATGTAAGACCAGAGGTCACTTAAAAAGTCTCCTTTATATGTAATGTTAATAAGGGTAACATAGTGGTAAATTAAACAGAAAAAGTTTTCATTGGGTACTACATATCAATGCCTTAATGCAAAACTATTGAAAAGCAATGCTTTGAGCATCAGGCAGCGTATTCATAACTATTTTGTGCAATGGCTTTATGTGAGGTAGCTTTTTGAGGCAATAAAGGAGAACTCCATCAGTTTTGGGAAAATAAATCTGTATAAAGAAATGGTTATATGGATATATACAAAGCCATTCAGAGTGGTTTGATGTGAAATTCTCCAATCTAGAGAAACTTGTTTACAGTGGTGGTCGTCTCAAGAGTTTAATGCCTCTAAAAGCAATCTCACAAAAACTTAATACAAGGTTGGTTATGAATGAATATACTGCCTGATGCCTGAGACAATGTTTCATGATTTATGAGTTTTGAGATGAGAGCTTAGGCTGCAATTATGTTGCTGTTGTTCTGTATGTTGGTTTAGAGAAGTCCATTCATGGCAGAGGGTTACATGCAGGATGTTGTAAGGCTAAATAGTCCACAAAGAAAACTTATTTTTTCAGATTTAACACTCTTTTACCATCATTAACACATAAAACTGAGAAGATGTGTATGTTCACTGGTGGTTTTGGATAGTAAAAAAATGGCTATATTTGCAACCCCTGGTTCCCATCACCACCACTGTAAAGAAATCAGAATCTGTAAGTTCCTGCAAATAAATCGTTTCACAACAAACCACTCTGAATAACTTTGTTTCCATCTCGGCGATTAAATTATGCAGAGATTTTAAAAATTAGGTGGAATTCCTCTTTAAATGCTTCAGATGTCTGGTTCCTATCACCACCACTGTGAACAAGTTCTTCCAGAACAGCACATTTCACACCAAATCACTCGGAATGTACTTGGTTTCTTGATGAATGATTGATCTTAATGATGAAATTATGAACAAAATTTGAGAAATTGGCGGAATCGGCCGATAATTATTCACTACCTACTATGAAAATGTGTCAGATATGTACAGTATGCAACACACTCCTGATCAACTTAAATGTTTTGTTGATCTCTTAAGTGAAAATCAGTTAACACATCCTCCACAGGGAACCTGAATATGACATTTTTCTGCACAATTGTTATTTATTAGTTTAATGTATTTGAAAAAAAAATCTAAATATAAAATATAAAATAAGTGTTCTTTGTAGAGGTTGTTTTAACTTATTTTCACTCAGAAAATCATCAAAACATGCAATTTAACCAAGGATAGCCACATTTTTGCATACAATGGAGAGGAATTGAAGTGTAACAGTATGAACAAATGCCCTATATGTCCTGCCTTTGTGCTATCTTTCAGTCCATCTGCTCACACCCATAAACCATCGGTCGCTTTCTTCACCCTCTCACAGAACAGGTGGCTGGAGAAGGAGGGGCCGATGACTTCAATACAAGAATCTGTAAGAACGTAACACACATCTCTGTAAGCATCCTGTGCAGATTCACAAGCTTGTAATATCCGCTTCCTAACACTCAGATCACTGCTACTGTAGTCTATGCGCTGAGTGCGTAAAAGGTCCTGTCTTACAGCCACTAGCATCTCCAAATCTCTTTGTGCAGCGGCCAGTGCAGATGAATCGCATGTGCCATGTAACTTCACTTGGGTCAATTCACCTGTACTCACTGCTTGAGCTGTCACATGATGCCCGCCCACACATCTGTCCCACTCCCTTTTGTCCATCATCTGAATGTACATGTATACGTGAGTGTCTAGCCATAACGACACAGTTTCTTCTGTCCTGTTTTTTTCTTCCACCACCGATCTGGAAGGTCCGGCCTTGTCTGGGCTCGGCTGCATGTCTCTGAGGCTTTGGGCACGACTGAGCAGATCTTTCCGCAGCTCTCGGAAGGCAGAAAATGGACCTTCTGCTGAGACGAATCCCACTTTGGTCAGGGAGGGCTTGAACCGCACCGACTTGTAGGTGGACCTCATGCTCGTGATCAACGTCGAAAGGTCAGGGAAGAGTGACAAATCCATGTCAGCGTAAGCATAAAAGGTGACCTACAAAAGTCATGGACAAAAACATGCTCATTAATTACTTCAACCTACTTTGGGAGAAACAATACTTTTCTCCCAAAATGTGAATCAAAATGTGAATGAATATTATTAATAACAACAGCCTTGACCAATATATTACACTGACCAGCCACTTCATTAAGTACACCTCCATATTTCTACATTACCTGTCTGAAGTTTCTAAGCACCTCAGTGTCACTGCTGGACTTAGAATAGCCCACAGACAGATGAGCTGTCATGGACCTACAAGGTAGGTGTGTCTAATAGAGTGGACAGTGAGTGGACACAGTGTTTAAAAACTCCAGCAGCACTGCTGTGTTTGATCCACTCGTACCAGCACAACACACACTAAACACCACCACCACGTCAGTGTTACTGCAGTGCTGAGAATGAGCCACTACCCAAATAGTACCTGCTCTGTGAGGGTCCTGTGGGGGTAAAAGAGGGCTTACAAAATATGCAAAGAAACAGATGGACTACAGTCTGTAATTGTAGATCTACAAAGTGCACCTATATCATGAGTGGAGCTGATAAAATGGGCACAATAGATATAAGGTAGATATACTTGATGAAGTGGCTGGTCTGTGTATTTTTGCCCAACTTTGTTGACAACTTTGGGAACTTTTTGCAAACCTCCACCCATATCAGAAATTTTCTTCATAGTTAAATAGTTAACCAGGCTTATAACATACTAAGACTTATTATTCAGTAACTACAGGGGCTTCAATGCAAACTGCTTGAGCTATTAGGTTATATAACTAGGTTATAGAACTGTGTAATAAAACTTTGTGTCTTCTTTTTATAGTTCACAGTAAGTCATACTGTATCCGAAACCATATCGACAAGAAAGTGTGACCTTAATGAAGAGCTGGTAAAAGTAGAAGAGCAAAAGTAAAATTACATGTTTCATTGACTTTGTAAGTGAAAGTAAGTTAACACATCCTCTACAGGGAACAGCATTTTTCTGCAAATTTGTTTAAAGTATGTTAAATTCAGCATTAAATGCATTAAAATGTGCAGAAGTATGTTCTCTGTAGAGGGTGTGCTAACTTATATTCATGTTGAACTCAAAGACTAAGTGCGCTTTCACACTTGGACTGTTTCCGTGTTTCAACTGGTCTCCCAAGGTGGTCTTAGTACAGTTTGTTTGTGCTTCGTTTTGTGGCCAGATTGATTTGTGCACTGTGGGAACACAACGGCCCCAGTCTGTTTCATGTTTAAAGAACATCAAGACCCACCATACATATATAGCTACAATGTTTGAGTCCTTTGTAATCTTCTAAAATACTACCATGCAGAGTTCAACCCTCTACTCATGGTGAAATCATTCTAATACATGGCCTTGAGTGGCTTATTGCTTTTATAAAATGGCAATATAAAAACAAATATAAAATGCAGCAAAATAAAACACAGTGTACAGTAAAAAACAATCTGATCTGTTTTATGATGAACTTGAACTACACTACCCATAATTCAGTGTAACCTAGGCGGTGTCTAAGTTGAGATGTGAACAAATGGTCTGAGATTTCACCAATGCTAAAAATGACCAGAAAGAGAACTGAGGCCCCTTTAAAATTTGCTAACACTGTGAACACAAAATGCACTGAGGGCAGTTGCTACTGGCTGCTTTCAGGTTCACTTTAACAGATCAAAGTTCAGTTCATTTAAAAAATGTACAGGGATGTGGGAAGTGGGGGTGCTGAGGGTGCTGCAGCACCCCCTGATTTCAGGACTGCCACTGTTAAAAATAACAATAATAATAAAATGTTCTGAACTTCACAATAATTGAAAATTTAAGCTCAACATGTTTCATCATCAGCACGTGCTAAAGGATAACATTTAACGCCACCGTGTGGCCAAATTATAAAAGGCAGATTTTTAAAAGAGCCAAATTAGGCAGAAAACTAAAATTTGTTTCTTAAATTACCACATATTGTTAGATTACAACCGTAACAATCAGGATATTTAAAATCTGTTGACAATTTCAAAACATGAACCCTGTTTATCTAATTGTACTGAATAAGCTACTCAAATCATCCTACATTGACATTTGGTAGCAATTATCAATTCAAGGCCCAATTTCTCATAGCTGGCTTACTGAATTAGCAGGCTAATGCTTATGCTTCATTAAAATGGCTATAGCCTACTTTGTTGCCTCACAAATTCCAATACATCAGTCACGTTTTTTTTTGTTCTGTGATCTCAGCTTTGCTCAATTTACTTTTAGTGTCAATAGCAGGTCACATATATTTTAATAAGAACACAATGTAAGGTGTTCGCAGTTAACTGTGGCTGCAGCACAAATACTGTCTGTAATAAAGGATCCCTACTTGATGAATATATAGCCGACTGAGGAATCTATTTTCATGAAATACTGTCTTGAGTTAGCAGGCTTTGTAAAAAAAAGGTTTAAAAACAGATAACTAAAGCAAACCAAATGCAGACTGGATGCAAAAGTGGAAGTGAGCCTTTACTGAAGCATACCCCGTCATGAAATAGCACCCATGGGAATTACCCACAGTTATGCTTTTCACACTATGCAAGCTATTTAAGGTGGCTATCTAAGATGTGAATGATTGGAGGAAAAAAATGTACACTTTTACAAGCATTTGGATATCACTGAGCTGTGAGAGGGGACTGCCAACAACCGCAGGCTCAACTGGCACACCAAGTTTCCACTTCTGGACATGAGATAAGATGGTTTAAGACAGTGGACCCACTTTTGATGCTCAAACTTTGCCTTTAACTTACAATGTAAGAATAATTTTCTTATCATTGACATTGTTGACCGAAGGAATACTACTGTGATTAGGCAAATGCCTTTCGAGGTCTAGATACATGTCTGTATTTTTAAAATATTTAACAGAGACATCTGATTTGTTGTATTTACACTCTGCATGTATTGTAGTAATACTTATGTCTTACTTCATTTTTAAGTTTTGACTGGAAACGAAAGGGTCAAGGCCTTAAAACGGAAAATTGTGGTATCTGCAAGTGCGAGTTAAGTGAGTGACCCTGATTGTTTACGGCTTCAGGAGCTGGACAGAAGGCCTTACTTTAGATAAACTACAAGCATCATCTGGAAGTGACAGAAGAATCAACCAGTCACATTTTGATCTTTACAATAAAGATAAATCAAAACTCTAGGCTAGTGGTCACCAACCCTGGTCTTGAAGATCTACCTTCCTGCAGAGTCTAGTTCTAACCCCAATCTGCCACCTCTGCACCAGCTAATAACCTTCCTCAGAAGTTCCTGATTGGCTGGATCAGATGCATTAGTGTCATGTAAAGTGGGGGGGTGTTAGATGCAGGTTACAAGTACAAGTTGCAGGAAAGTAGATAGCCAGGAGGAGTGTTGGTGACCACTGATCTTGAGCAGCGGTCACCAACCCTGGTCCTGGAGGTCTACCTTCCTGCAGACTCTAGTTCCAACTGCAATCTGTTCCAGCTAATAACCTTCTTCAGAAGTTCTTGATTGGCTGGACTGGATGCATTAGTGTTATGTAAGGGGTGTTATCTCAATTGCAGGTTGGGACTAAATACTGTGGAAAGTAGGTCTTTTAGGAGGAGGGCTGGTGACTGCTGATCTAGAGCAGTGGTCACCAACCCTGCTTCTGGAGATCTACCCTGCTGCAGATGTTAGCTGCAACCCTTATCGACCCCACCTGATCCATCTAATTATTACCTTCAGGAGTCATTGATTAGTTGAATGAGGTGTGTAAGTTTTGGATTGGATATGCAACCTGCAGAAAGGTAGATCTCAAGTAAGAGGGTTGGTGAACACTGCTCTAGGCCTTCTGGAGGTCCTAGATATGTCACTAACTAAGATAAAGAGCAGCAGCTGAGCCAAGATTCACTTAGTTGTTAGAAATGGAAAGCAGCTGAGGCAGCTCTATGTCAGGGCTCTTCATGGGAAGAGTCATTTTAAAACTGCAACATACTGTAAAGTATGTGTTACAAGACTGTTGCAAGCTTGAAATAAAAAATACAGTTTCTTTTACAAGGTTCAAATGTCTGTGTCTAATCTAGAATGGTCAAAAATGTTTATGTGCACCAGCTTTAGAGCTAACATACTACTAGAAATCCCACTGAGGTGCAAATCAGTACCAATCGTTTTCCTATTTTCTGACATTTATGGCCTGAAATGACAGTCACGGTTCGCCAATGGCTGATTCTTACCTCGAAGAACAGATATATGGTATAAATGCATGAGCCCCATACCTACCTCTGGAGTAAACTTGTAAACAGTAAGAGGATATTCTTCATCAAACTCTTTATCTTTCAGCATTTGGTTACACTCAACCACCCTGTCTGCATCTGAAAATAGCAAAGAGCATTAATGAAGCATTCAACAAAACTCGATTTCTCCAGCAAAATCCATATTAGGTCTGAAGAGTGCTGGTTCAAACATGGTTTCCCTCAAGAAAACTGCCGCAACTTCATAATAGAGGGAATTAGGTCCTGGCGCTATCTCACTTTTGTGGAAATATTTCAATATTTGTGGAAGCACAAATATTTAGATGTTGACAAAGTTATTTTAGCTGTCCACCACGGCATAATGGAATTTAAATGAAATCATCATATGCCTTGGTGTACTGACCTTGCCAGTTCTCAAAGGTGATGAAGGCCACGCCCTTAAGATGAGTGGGGTACTGCACCTCCTTCACGTCCCCTCCTTGGCTCCTTGCGCTCTGGAAGTGGATGGTGAGTTTGTCGCTCATTCGCTCACTGGACAACACGTCAGGAACTCCGGCGACCACCACCGTCCTGCTCCAGTCAGAAGAGCCTTCGCTGCTCATCATTGATACATCACTCATCACTGAATTGTTTATGATGACGCAGGTCTTAGCATACCCAGAATCTGAGGCTGTGTTCACACAGGAGGCACAGATCTGACTTAATAGTGCATCTGATTAGACGTGGCATCTTTTACGGGAGTCTGAAAGGCAAAAAACACAACCCTACCATGTGTATGTGGTCTAAACTGCAATGTTAGAGGTCCTTAACACACTATATGTTCAAAAGTGTGTGGACACCTGCTTATCCACTGTTTCTTCTGAAATCAAGGGCATTCATAGGGACTTTGTTCCTACAGTAATGCTACTCTTCTATGGAGGCTTTATGCTAGATGTTGGAACATTGCTGTAAGGATTTGACTGCATTCAGCTACAAGAGGATTAGTGAGGTCAGGTACTGACGTTGGATGCAAAAAGTAGGACAGGACAGAAGCTGAGTTAATTTTTTTATTTTTTATTTTTTTTATTTTTGTTTTTGACAGAGGAGTGCCTTGTTTTTTTTTCTACAACTATTAGAGTATTCCCTGCCAAGGAGCACTTTTATTATGTTTTGTTGGATCTTCCAAGCATCACAGACATTTTGTATGGAATTTATTTTAGTGTATTGGACTGTGCTCTGTCACCAAAGATAACATAGTTCCACTGCTCCACAGCCCAAAGCTGGGGGTTTTTATACCCCTCTAGCAGATGCTTGGCCTTGTGTAGCAGTTCCAGGGTGTCTCATCAGGGGTGGATTTAGTGATTCTGGGGCTCTTGGCAAAACACAGGAATGGGCCCCCCTGGATGCACTTTTTTAGGTTAGTTGAGGCTCTGGGTGCCTGAGTGGCGCAACAATGTACAATACAAAATGATACCTTGGCAAGAATGAAAATGAAATCATCTCAAATCAAATCAACATATTTAATACTCTTCATTTGAAGATTGTGGCAAGAACATAGTAAGATTATTAAATGTATTTCTTGTATGTACTTTTTTTTTTTTTACATATTTTAAGAAACATCGCTTGTAACAAGCAAGTGATCTGCCAATATAGTGTGATAATTTGGTACAGAGTAACATAAAAGTAAAGTAATGTGTAATGACAACACTGCATCTATATATACTCATAATATATTGTGCCTATGCACCACTCTATACCAATTTAAAAAAACTTTGGATTCTCAAACTTCTCAAAACACAAAATGGTTAGCCAGCGCTGACAGCAACCACTGATTCATCTTTTTTCTATGTCTTATGACCGGTGCTATAGCGCCAACAAAATTCAAGTTCCTGCTTCAACACAAAAACGCAAAAGGCACTCTCTAGAGCCAGTGTTTGCTTTGTTCGTGCTGGGCTACTGTAGAAACATGGTGAGGCAACATGGTGGCTTCAGAGCCAGTTCATGAGGAGCCTGGCCACCTATTCCCCCCGTTATATCGAAAACAGGACTGCTAAACAGCAGAGGGCGCCCGCGAGTGAGTCCTCAACGAATGGGAGTAAATGGCGCTCAACGGCTAAAAATGAAAAGTTAAAATAGTTTCTAATCACTCGCCCAGAACGTTTCTTTAATTTTAGAAAGTAGAAGCATGTATTTCACTAAAAAAACAAAGAAATCTCACCAATATATTTCCCTTTTTCTACAGCAAACAGGTTTTGGGCAGCGGAAGGTGGACATTAGTGCTAGAGCGTGATGACTGATTGGCGAGCGGAGCAGCTCATTGGCTGTTCGCGCTCACTGACGTCATGGACATACATGAGGTGCCGTTTTAAACTCCTATAACTCGAGTTTAAAAGCTCTTAAAAATATAACAGCAGTGTTTTATGCTTCTCTGTGTTCAGGAAATGATTGCATTCTTTTACATTAAAAATGTAATTGAATTCGCTAATAAGAAAGGGTGTCTAGATACATTTGGACATACTGTGCGGGTATATATGTGAACTTTTGCAAGTTTTAGTTGAACACTCGTGGTTTACACCTTGTCTATACGCTCAAATAGGACGTACAGTAGCTAACTAGGTTAGCTAATCTAGCTAGATTACGTTATTACTATAGCGACCAACCACAACACAGATCAGCCTGCCTGAGCGGTAACCTGACCACTTCGCAAAAACAATGAGGAGACCGACTGCAGTGTGAATGTAGCTCAACACTCCAACTGCAGTCCGTATTTAACCATGTAAGTTAGGGAGGGATTAGAGGTAAATACTCCCTCTATAAGGCTTATTTTTCGATTCATTTCGAGGCTGTAGGTGTAGCCTTCTCTAGTCATACACTGAAGGTGTAGCCTTCTCTAGTCATACACAAAGACGTTTTTCCGAACAGACTAAATTCCTAACATGAAAACGTACATTACTATTATTAAATTAATCCAGTTAACGTTACTGCTACAAACTCTGTATGGCCCGAACACGGTTCACAGCCTTTTCTTACCCAGTGCTGTCTGAGAGCTCCTCGTTTGTGTGTATCTGACTCACGTAGGTTAACGGACTAACGCGAAAGTAACACGGATCTGGGAATTGTAGTCCTATAACCGATTGCGCAGGCCAGTGGAGACTGGGTGTAAAACTACAACGTCCACAATGCAGCAGGGCATTTCGTTTCGTTTTCGGTTTTGATAGTCTATAATGTATATAGAAGCCGTACTCAACAGGTTTACAAGCAAGATGAAGAAAATATGTTTTAAAACACATGTTGGCGTAGCGTAGTAGAGATTAACCACAACATAAACAACAAAATGAATTAAAAAAAAAAAAAGGGAACAGGAGAGGGCACTGTTGCCTTTGTATAGCGCTTTATATACAACGCTCAGCCATAACATTAAAACCACCACCTTGTATCTACATTGTCCATTTTATCAGCGCCACTTACCATACAGGTGCACTTTATAGTTCTACAATTACAGACTGCAGTCCATCTGTTTCTCTGTATGCTTTGTCAGCCCCCTTTTATCCTCTTCTTCAATGGTCATGACCCCAACAGAGCAGGTATTATTTGGGTGATGGATCATTCTCAGCACTACAGGGACACTGGTGTGGTGATGGCATGTTAGTTTGTGTTGCGCTGGTGTGAGTGGATCGGAGAGCAGTGCTGCTGAAGTTTTTAAACACTGTCCACTCACTGTCCACTCTGTTGGACACTCCCATCTTGTTGGTCCACCTTGTAGATGTAAAGTCAGAGACAGTGGCTCACTTGTTGCTGCACAGTGTGTGTTGGCCATCCTGTTGTCCTTCATCAGTGGTCATAGGACACTGCTTTCCTGGATATTTTTGGTTGGTGGACTATTCTCAGTCGAGCAGTCACACCGGGGTGTTTAGAACTCCAGCAGCACTGCTGTGTCTGATCCACTCGTACCAGTGCAACACACACTAACGCACATGCACCACGTCAGTGTTACTGCAGTGCTGAGAATAATCCATCACCCAAATAATTCCTGCTCTGTTGGGGTCATGACCATTGAAGAAGAGGATAAAAGGGGGATAAGATACACTGAGAAACAGATGGACTACAGTCTGTAATTGCAGAAATACAAAGTACATCTATATTGTAAGTGGCGCTGATAAAATGGACAATGAGTGTAGATACAAGGAGGTTTTTTTAATGTTATGGCCAGCATTGGTTAAATGGACAGCATCCTCAGCGGTGCCACAGTAGTCTTTACAGTGAGATTTTCCAGTTTAAAGACTAGGAAACCCACTTTCTGATTATGTATCTGGAGGGTGGAAGGAACATGAAAAACAAACTGCTTTCAGGTGGGAAGTTTTGAATTTTTTTTTTTTGAACAAACTAGAAACCTAAAGCAAGCAATTAACTAAAATACTTACCTCAGGTTGGCTTCTTTTGTTTGCCTGAAAGGGTCAATATCTCAACCTTGGCATCCATTTTGTGCTGAATAAAGATAAAATGGCTGTTTTTTTCCTGACAACCCAGGAGAGTCACACTGAAGCCAGCTTGACTGTGATGTGTTAGAATGTAAATCAATGTCAAGGCTAACAATCAGGATCGGTTGACACCACAGGGATTCCAAATGATTTGATGTATTTGTGTAATGCATGCTGGGTGCAGCACTGAGAGAACGCTGATGAACAAAAATGTGAAAACGATATAAAAGCTTGAACTGTCAAACTGAGGCTGAGGAATATGATGCTGCACAACATGACTACTCTAGTTTTAGGCCCGATTGCCCCTCAAAAGCAGAGACAGCCTTGTCCTCAAGGCAGAAATAGACTTATTTAGTCTGCTGTTTATCTAAAGAACTTGCACAGTTTGGTGTAAACATTTATTTGTTTCAAACTGAAATAAAAACATTTTACAGCCTTCCATAATCCACACATTTTGCAACAAACAAAACAAAAAAGGAGGGGGTATGAGGTGTAAGAATTTCCATCTTTGAGTGACCCTTCTTATGAGAGACAGTTAAAAACCCCTTATTTAAAAGTTCTGGGGGAAGAGTGAGAGAAGGAGCTGGAGTGAAGATTTCTTTAAAAAACTGCCATCGTCTGCTTATAAATAAAATTAAAACACAAAACTAGTCTGAAGAATTATCAAAGTTTGCATTTTTGCCAGAACAGAGTTACAATTTGTGAGAGAAAAGGAGGACAAATTACTCTGCCAGTGAAAAATCAATTATTCATCGACAGATTTTTTTTGTTGTTTTGTTTTTGGGTGGCATCCGTTATTTTCTGTTGGCGGTGGAATTTTTCTGCAACAGTGTAAGAGGGGCTGAAGGCACGCAAAGTAGAAGCTTTCTCTTGTTTGCAGTTTTGCAGACGTACCAACTTTAGCAGGCTCCGTTTTATCCCCCCCTAAACAAATAAGGAGTCACAAACAAGACAAAGAGCAAGCCAGTGCGTGTGGTCCAGGGGCAGCTGGAGGTGGGGTACTTAATGTCGTCACATGTCAAAGCTTCTCTTCTGCAGTACAAAACTATACTATATGACCAATCACCATGCTGTCTTCGTAGTAAAGCATCTTTAGTATAGCGTCTTTAGAAAATTGCAAAACGTCTTAATTGTTTTTGGTTTGATTAAATAACATTTCGAGTTGGATAATTATGCCCGTTTCAAACAGTTACAACACCATTCCTTTTTTTTTTTCCTTTTTTCTTCCCTGTATTAACAAACCCGAGTGAAAACCCCAACAGTATCAAACCCGTTCATATTTTGCCCCAGTGGTGCAAACATAAACAAAAAACAAAAAAACAAAAAAAGAAACAGAAAAAAAGAAAAACAAAGTAGTGAGTGAGGATGGCAGGAAGTGAGCCCGAGGCAATGGTGGTGATTGGGCAGGGAGTGTGAGGGGGCGTGGCCTCACTGAGAGCTGGCTCTCTCGAGGATGTGAGCCTCGTCGTGTCTCTTGCTGGATTTCAGTCTGAACGCGGTGATGGAGTTGTTCAGTTTCAGCAGTGCGCTCTGCGCTGCGTATTTTGAGGGGAACGTGGCCAGGATGGTGTAGGTGGACGCCAGGTCGTGGGGGGGCACTTTGGAGGGGTCAGAGTTCGTGTCGCTGCTGTCCGAGCGCTGGGGCGGTTGGGGCTCCCGCAGCCATTTGATGAGAGCTCCTGCCTTACCCAGCTCCCCGAGCAAAGAGTCCGCCTCCGCGCGACTGATGCCAGCCGGCAGGTCCGTCACTTCTAGAACACGACTAGTCACTGTGAGCACAGGAAAGGAGAGCTTTAATAACTTTGCACCAATTTGCTTTCAGCATGATCTATTACAATTTATACAACAGTTAGTTCTGAAAGCACAATCTGATTGGTTGAAAAGCGTTCTCTCTGTGCTTTTTCCTGCTATCATTCTGATGGGCAGTTCTTGCTCAGTAACGAGTCTCTTCATGCTGCAGCTAACCTATACTATGTTTCTATATTTCATTCTAAAATGAAAACATTAATACATTTCAAAAAGAGAATATTTGACCTGCAGCTTGTTTGTTCAGAGTGTGACACAGCAGATCTACATCAACTTCTTAACCTGTTATTGCCTCTACTGCTGCGTTTAAAACCGTTGTTCCACACTATATCAGAATTGGCATGCAGCAATGTATACGTTGCCATGGTGACAGGGGCGATTAGCCACTATATTATCCTAAAAAAGTGTTTTCAAAACATGTTTCAAAATGCACTGTTTGTTTGAAATTTGTTTTGATGTACACGCAGGAGTATCCCTAGGCTTCAAATACGAGCACCGACTGCTCACGATTGAGAAAAAAGCCAGTGGCAAAAGTTGGGAAAACTGAACTCATGACAGCATTGTGGCAGAATTTTCCCTGCATTCAAATTTGTCACTGCCATTTTCCATCTACTGCCAACATGTAAGCAGAGCTGTTACAGCAGAACAACTAAACAAACTGGAATTAGCCAGGAATGAACAGAATATAATTTGGCAATCAAGATGGGCTGTGAAATGTTTTACAGACTGACTGGAACAAAATGACATTTAGGTTAATCTGGCAAATACTAAAAAAGCTGAGATGAACTTGATATTGTGACAGTTTTATGGGCCTATTCGTAGCAAAAAATTTTTAGCAGAGGAATTTGCCAATATAAAAGCCCTTTTGATACAATGTTTGGAGCTTCTTTGCTTTACTGTTTTCTTTATTTTGCAGAACTGTTGTACAAAAGCAACCGAAAACTTGAGGTTGTGTGTTACTGCGAATAACAATGCAGCTATGATCTACTACACTGGGCTCTGAACACTCCTTCTCATGTTCTATTGCTTAAAAATAATATTTCAGTACATAATACACATCCGAAACAAGTGTGTGTATATGTACATATTATCTATGGATATCAGGTTAAAAAATACTCCAGTTTTATTCTGGAAGATTTGTATTTACTTATGATCAAATTTAGTACTTGTACTTACATTTCCAAGAGGAAAACATTTTCATTTAACAGTTCTGGGGCAATTTAGCATACTTCTTTAAAATCAGTCAAGTTCCCTCACATTGACTTTTTTTTTTCATAAAACATCCAATCAGATTCGTGTCAGTGTAAAATGAAACTGCCCACTATGTTTATTTATTTTGATGCGAAACTGAATTATGCCAAATACATGTACTTTTTAAACACTACCCATACTTTCACTGAAGTAGATTGTCTCTGTTCTTTCACAATCTTCACCCCTGATTGACGTGTGTGCGTTTATATTACCTATCTCTCCTGGACTCATATCAGTTGACAGTGATTTCTTTGTGGGTCTCCGGCCGCGTCCCCCATGACGGATACCCATAGAAGCCTGGGAAAAGGCAAAGAGGCGTTAGAGAATCTGTATGTGGAAAGTATGCATACCTGTGTAGTGCCTGAATGATAAAACAGTCATATCTTAGTGTAGTATGATGCTGGCAATAGTGGGCAACAGCCCTATTCGGACAGACTAAAGAGGCAGTTATAAGTTTTGGTATAAAGCATTATTTTATATTAATGATGCACCGAACTAAAATCTTGATTGAAACGGAAATTCAGGACACACTGGGCTAGGAAGTAAAAAA